GTAAAATCGACGATGGAAGGTACGGGACGAGACTGAACCATCTGATCGAACAAATCAACAGCATACTCGGCATGACAGTCATGAACGCCACATCTCAATCTATCTCTGTATGACATATTGCGGTCTCTAACATCGGAAAAAGACGATCTCCGACAGCTTAAGACCGAGGAACTGTGCAAGAAGTTGTTCAGAGTACCTCTTCTTAGGGGATGAGTCTGAAGTAGACCTGAGGCAGAAGCAAATGCAAAAGCAGCCATTCTCTGAATCACTGCCGTCATCTTAGCTTCCATTCAAAGAGACAGAATCAAAAACCCCCCACAAAACCTTATCCTTTTCGAACCTGATTCAGAAAGCCAAAACCCAAGTCAACACTCAATTCTAACATAAACAGATTCCATGAATTTAGCGTAAAAACTGATATGAGAATCAATTCAGACAAGAGAAGAGCCGACGGCAATCAACATAAAAACTGATATGAGAATCACTTCAGACAAGTACGAAAATCGAAATCGAATAATTGAGAGGAGATGAGAGAGAGAGACTTTGAATAAAAAATCAGTTAATAATTAAAAATAAAAACAAAAAAAAATAAAATGTGATTAAATTATGATAGATCTGTTATATTTATTAGTTTTAAAATTTGAAAGTATTTGATGTTTTTTTAACCGAACCTCTCAAAGTTAGAGGGTCGCATAAATTTTTTATAAAGATATATGTTCAAGTTCCAAAAATAAGTGTCGTAAAAAAAATGTTATAGTTGAAAGTTAAGTCACATTGTTGGCTTGTAATAATTGGGTAGTTCACCTTAATAATATATTAGATTATTATATGTTATTAGTGTCCACATGTATGTTAGATTATTATTTATCTTATTCGATTAGGTACAATCTTCTATGATTGCATGTGTGTATATATATATATATATATATATATATATATATATGAGTTAGAAACCCTATTTTTAATCAATAAATCATTTTAAAATTGGATCAGCGTATGTCTTAAAAAGATTGAACGTTACAAGTTTCACATCACAAATTGTATGATCTTACCCCCAAAACAATCACGTGGACATATATAGGATAGTAGGTTTATATCTATAGTATATACATTAACACATATATATATAGGATAAATAAGTTACATTTGAGGAGTTGTTGGCTTATAATAATTGGATAGCTCACCACCTTAATAAAAAAATAAATTATACACATATATTTTTGGAAAAATTCCAAAAAAAATTACCGACCTTGAAGATAACTGACATATTAATATTGAACTTTTCAAACTTTTAAATTAAATATGAATTCAACGATTTTGACATAAAAAAACACTAAACTTGTAAATCTTTGACAAAAACTTCATCAAC